GGTTGATAGACAATCAGTTTCTTTCCAAATTTTGACTGCTATGAATAAAACTGCTACTAGTATTCACATACCAATTTTTGTCTTTTTTTTTTTTTCATTTCTTGGATAAATACCTCAAATGGAGTTACCAAGTCATAGAATAAGTATATGTTTAATTTTATAAGAAACTGCTAGACTGTTTTCCAAATTCATTCTACTGTCTTACATTCCTACCAACAATGGTTTGGAACTTTCAATTGCTCCTCATCTTCACCAATGTTGTCATCAGTCTTTTTAATTCTAGTTATTCTGGTGGACATGTAGTGGTATCTCGTTGTTTTAATTTGACTTTCTAGAGTGTCTAATGACAATGAGTATGTCTTGATGTGCCCATTGGCCATTTGTGTATGTTCTTTTGTGAAACATCTGTTCAAATATTTTGCTCATTTTAAATTGAATTATATGTATTCTTTATACTGAATAGTAAATTCTTTATATATTTTGGATATCAGTCCTTCATTGGGTGTATGTATTTCAGATATTTTCTCTCAGTCGATGGTTTGTCTTTTCATTTTCTTAACAATGTTTTATGAATAGTAGTTGTTTTTATTTTTTTTATTATTTTTTAAGAGTAGTTGTTTTTCAAATTTGATGGAGATCACATTCATCAATGTTTCCTTTTATAGTTTTATGATAGGCACAAAAAGCCTAACTAACAAATATCTGTCTCTGCCAAGGTCACAAAATATTTTTCCTTTCTTTTCTTCTAAAGGTATTACAGTTTTAGCTTCCACATTTAGGTTTATGGTCCATTGGAGATTATTTTTGTATATGGTGCAAAGTAAAGGTTGAGGTTCATTTATTTCCAAATATATGTCTGGTTATTCCAGAACCATTTATTGAAAAGACAGTTATTTCCTTTTTTAATACATTGGCACCTTTATTAAAAATTAATTATGCAAGTCTATTTCTGAACTTTATTCTCTTCCATTAGTCTAATGTTTGTTCTTAGGATAATACCACGCTGTCATTTTTTGTAAGTCTTGAAATCAGAAAGAAAACATCTCCGACTTTTTTTTTTTTTTTCAAAGTTGTTTTGGCTACTCTAGGTCTTTTATATTTGCATATTCATTTTAGAATCAGGCTGTCAACTTTGACAAAAATGCCTGCTAGGATTTTGATTGGGATTGCATTGAATCTTTAAATCAATTTAGGGAAAATTTATATTTTAACAATATAGAGTCCTCTAATGTGTAAATATGGCCTGTCTTTCCATTCATTTGAGTCTTCTGTAATTTATCACAGCAATGTTTCATAGTTTTCAGCACGCAGATCTTGCACATATTTAAAGTTATTCTTTTTAAAAATTGAAATATAATTTACACACTATAAAACTCACCTTTTTAAAGTATCAATTCAGTAGTTTTTAGTATTGTGCAATTATCACCACTATCTAGTTCTAGAATATTTTCATTACCCCAGAAAGAAACCTCATACCCATTAGTAATCATTTCTCATTCCCCAGCCCCCCAGCTCTTTGGCAACAGCTAATTTACTTTTTGTCTCTCTGAATTTACCTATCCTGTTCATTTCATAGGAATGGAATCATATACTATATGGCCTTTTGCATTGGTCTTCTTTCAGTTAGCAGAGTGTTTTCAAAATTCAACCATATTGTAGCATGAATCAGTTCTTTACCTCTTTCTGTAGGAGAATAATCTTCCATTATGTGAATATATACCACATAATGGTATATATTCGTTTTTTATTTATCAATTGATAGACATTTGGTAGTTTCCACTTTGTGGCTATTATGAATAATGCTGCTATGAACATTCATGTACAAATTTTGTATGGCCATGTTTTCATTTCTCTTGAGTGTGTACCTAGGAGTAGAATTTCTGGGCCATATGTTAACTCTATGTTTAACCTTTTGAGAGAATTGCTAAATTATTTTTCATAGGAGCTACACCATTTAACATTCTCATCAGCAGTGTATGAGAGTTCTAGTTTCTCCACACCTTCATCAGCATTTGATATAGTCTATCTTTTTTATTATAGCCATTCTAGTTGGTGTAAAGTACTATCTCAATGTAGTTGTGGGGGGATTTTGATTTGCACTGCCTGAATGACTAATGATATTAAGCATCTTTTCATGTGTTTATTAACCATTTATATATCTTTTTGGGAAAATGACTATTCAAACACTTTACCAATTTTTAATGGAGTTTTATCTTTTTATTGTTGAGTTGCAAGAGCTCTTTATATATTCTGTTTATTGGTCTCAGTTATAAGCTGAACTGTGCTCTCCCCCACCCAAATATGTTTAAGTCCTAACCCCCTATACCTGTGAATGTGATCTTATTCGGAAATAGGTCTTTGCAAATGTAATCAAGTTAAGATGAGGTCATTAGGATGCACTCTAACCCAATATAACTGGTGTGCTTTTAAGAAGGTAAAATGTCATGTGAAGACAGAAACACACAGGGAGTGCCATGTGATGACACAGGCAGAGATTGGAGTGATGCATCTGCAAACCAAGAAACGTCAAGAATGGATGGCCATGACTAGAAGCTAGGAAGGGGCAATGAAAGATTCTACCCACAGTCTCAAAAGGAACATGGTCTTGCTGACACCTTGATTTTAGAGTTCTGGCCTCAGGACTGTGAGAGAATAAATTTCTCTTATTTTAAGCCACCTAGTTTGTGGCAGCCCTAGGAAACTCATACAGATTTTGG